ACAGGGGAACAGAGAGGAGAGAAGCTGGCTCCAGAACAAGCTGCCACCAAGCAGGTCAAGCGTCCTGAAGCCTCGTCTGTAGAGTGGGATGAGGGGGATAATGGTACCTGCAGGGCTGCTGCGAGGATTGGACTATGTACAGCTTCGCACTGTAGAGAGCACACAGGTGCTCAATAAATGCTAGTGTCTGTTCTCAATGTGGGAGCTGATCGATGAGAACGCATGGACGCATGGGGGAAAACAAGACACACTGGGGCCTGTGGGGACGTGGGGGGAGGGAGCGCATCGGGAAGAACAGCTAATAGATGCTGGGCTTAGTGCCTAGGTGACTGATGATCTGTGCAGCAAACCACCATGGCATACGTTTACCCAAGTAACAGACCTGCACATCTGTACATGTATCCCTGAACTTAAAAGTTGAGGGAGAAAAATTTGATAAATGTTTGCTGAAAAAAAGAAAAAATGGTTCTATAATTCTGTCATTCTTTTTTTTTTGAGACTGAGTCTTGCTCTGTTGCCCAGGTTGGAATGCAGTGGCGCGATCTCAGCTCACTGCAACCTCCACCTTCCAGGTTCAAGCAATTTTCCTGCCTCAGCCTCCAGAGTAGCTGGGATTACAGGCGCCCACCACCACACCCGGCTAATTTTTGTGTTTTTTAGTAGAGAAGGGGTTTAGCCATGTTGGCCAGGCTGGTCTCAAACTGCTGACCTCAGGCGATCTGCCTGCATTGGCCTCCCAAAGTGTTGGGATTACAGGTGTCAGCCACCACACCCAGCCAACTCCATCATTCTTAAAAAAAGTAAATACTAGTCTCTTTGTTGCACCCCCGCCCCCTCCCAAACCCCAGCTTCATTTATAGAAATGATTGATCTCTCCCCCTTGTTCCCATCCTGTTCACAGCAGCCTGGGAAGCAGTACCCACCCCACATCCTCTTTGGACCAGAAGCTGAGCTACACTAGATGTGTTGGGGCTAGTGGGTGAAAAAGGAACAGAGTGCTGTCCCTGCACTGCAGGAGTGTGTGTGTGTGTGTGCGTGGGGGTAGGGCACGAGATAAGTTCATTAAACCAATTCCTTCAATCTCATGCAGAGTGTGCATGAATGGGGTGAACATAGGGGCTCTGGGAGCATCAGGGAGGCTCACGGCATTCAGCCTAAGGGGTCAGCTGGGAGGAGACGCCCCCAGAGGTTTATGAAGCATGCGGAGTGAGGGAAATGGGGTTGAGAGGGGAAGAGAGCATAGGAGAGAAGGAAATCAGAGTGCTAAGCCAGCCAAGGCAGCTTGGGACCACATGGCCCTCCTTTGAGGATCAGAATTCCCAGTTCCTGCAGCTCATGTGAGAGTTTCCTACCAACCTTGTCCCCTGGTTATTTCTTGCTGTTGCTTTTTATGACTGCTACAAATTACAGAAAGGGTAAATATGTCTTTTGAAAAATTTTCAGTCTTTTCCTGTGTTAGTTAAAATGAAGGAGGAGAGAATTTCCTCCCTAAACAAGAGGTGGGGAATAGAGGGGAGTGCAATCAGGGTGTCCACACTCAGGCCAAGTCTGAGGATGCTTGGACCCAAGTCAGGGCTGGGGGGCAGGTAAGACAGGTAGACAGTAGGGACTGGGGTGGGGTAAAACGGAAGACTGAAACCTTTCCTGGGCATTTCTCTTCCATGCAGAAAAATGATGCTTGACCAACTCACCACACCAATGGAGAAATAGTTGTTCATGATGCTGTATGGGACCTGGTCCCCGTTTTCCACTTCCTCTCTGGGGATGACTTCCAGATGCCAGCGGTCCAGCATCACCAAGGGGCTCTGCTCAATGTCCTTGAGGATTTTTGTCAAGCTGCCCCCTTCATAACCTGTGGAGGACAGCACTGCATTTGCCACCACAGCAGAAAGGCAGTGTTCTTGCTAATGCACAGGTAATTGTCAGGGCAGGTGGACCCAGGGCATCTGTGATGAGGGGACACCCCACTGGGTCTGTGGGCTGGAGACACTTATGTCCCCTGGGCCACAGAGAAGGGAAGGACAACTGGGAGTAATCAGAGGCTGGGGGCGGGGGAGGGATGGGTGCTGGCTAAAGGTGGCAGGCCTGTGTAGCTGAAGCAAACCCTGGAGAAGCAGTGGGCTGGATGGCTGAGACTCTCCTTATGGGAGAATAGCAGATCCTTCCCAGCTGTGTCATGTGGGAGATGGTCAGTGTGGCAAGCAGAATTTTAAGATGGCCTCTCGGGCTGGGTCCTGCTTGCTCTGACAGTGCCCACCAAGCATGGCCGATCATTGAACACTGACCATTGCCCTGCCTGGTCTTGACTGATTCTCTGAATTGTCAGCCATCTGGAGTCCCCACCCCTTTTCTGGCCGGCAGCCTGATCTGTCTGCTCCATGTGTTGAGCTGAACATCTCCACTTTCTGGCGCAAGTGCAACTCCATGGGGCTACTCCAGTTTGCAAAGTTCTCTGCCCCCGATCTTATAAACTGGTCATCACTCTCTGTTTCCTCTTAGGGAAATTTCAAAATGAGTACCTATGGCCACGGGGCTTAGGATAATCTGAATGCTTCTAGTGACTTTAAGTAACTGGAGACGTAGCATTTCGGTCCTCAGTTTGTGTCCTAATTCAGAAGATCAGCCATCTGTGGGAGAGGGAATTTCATACAGAAAACATCTAAGTGAGCGCCTTCCTGGATGGGACTCTGGGGATGGGACACCTGAAACTTTGTCTTTACCCTGGAGTTGATTGCTTTCTACTTGGGAAAGCAGACTCTGAGGTGATGGTTTCAGGATGGTAGTAAACATGGGGGTGAGGGAGCAAAAGGCTCCCAGAGCCCAGAAGAGGGGCTTCTATTCCAGATTCAGCAGGGGATGGAGGGCAGAGAAAGGGTGATGGACTTGGCCTGATTGCAGAGCTGAGTATGATACTGCGGAATGTGATCCATGAAAGGGTAAGTTCAGCCTAGCTCTGCAGAGCACCTCTGCAGACTGGAATGCTCGTTCCCGGGGTAGCAGCACTAGCACGCAGACTCACCTCCTCCCCAGCGGAGACAACGGGCAAGGTCATTTCCTGTTCCAAGAGGCAGGACAGCCACTGGTGGATGCTTTGCAAAGTTGGCCTTATCTGCAAGACACACAGGAACAGAGAGCAGCCATATGCCATGGGACCGCAGGGTGTTCGAGTTGTCTTCTTATCCCTGATCTGCTGCTTGAACCCCTTCGTAGCAGTCTCTGTTTGGATACCACCCGATGGGAAACACACTACTTCCTAAAGCCATCTATCCCATCTGCAGCGTGCTAACCACCACTAATTGAGTTAAATCTGTCCATTTGTATTTTATATTGAGCTAAATCTGTATCCTGCAACTTGCACATGTTCATTCAAATTTCATCCTAAATCTGTCCTTTGGGGTGGCAGCATACACCCCAACACATTAAGGTGCATGTTTTTAATCCTTAATGATAATCAGCATTTACTCCATTTATCCCTCAGCCTACATTGCAAGGTATTATCTTCCTTCAGGTAGCTGAAGAAACATTGAGAAAGGGAAAGTGGTCTACAGCCATTCTACCCGGAGCGCTCAAGCTCATTCAGGAGCTTGAATGGGAGACAGGGAAAGTGATTCCAGAACCAGGATCCAAACCCAAATCTCTGCGGCTCCAAGTTCATCCCCTTCCCCTCTTCAGGGGCTAGGCAGGTGTAGAGATGAGTAAAACAGGTGGGGCTGTGACACCGGGGAATAGTGGGACATCGGACAAGTTGAAGATGCTCACCTTCAACTTTTCACCATGCGAGTTAAACGTTTAAAAACTAACATGAGTTAAACAAGCAATCATCCAGGTGTTATTTGGCCACCACAACCAGTGTGTCACTTCCACCACCTCTCAGAATTGCAAAGATGCAGATTCCTAATCGTTTCTCTTTTGTTGGTTGTGAAGGACATCAGACAGGACTGTCAGAGAAAACACAACAGATAGACAGTGGCGTATTGTCTAGCCTGGGAGAGCTGAAGAGGGCACAGGCATCCATCAGTCTTGGGGGCGGGGGAGTATGAGACCTCAGTGTGCACTGTGCCCCTGGATGTGAACAGTGTGATTGCGGGGTGGGGAGAGATGCAGGAATCAGCAGGTGAGGCTCAAGCTAGGGCTTCCCTGGCAAACTGGGAGCTCATAGGTCCTCCAGGGGGTTTGACCTGTATCAGAAATGGCGGATCACAGGCAAGACCCAGGACTGAGATGACCACTGGAAGGTCTGGGATGGAGAGGGCGGCGATGCAATGGCCTCTCTCATTGTCCTCAGAACACGTGATCAGAGCACTGCCTCCCTGCCTTTGCACAGGCAGCTCCGTTTGCCTAGAAGGCTCTTGATTCCTGTGCCTGCCCCTCACCCCTCTGTGTCCACCTCAGCAGGTCAACTGTCCCTATGGTGTTGAGGCCAGAAACCTGTATGCCGTCTTGGGTTTTTCCTTTTCCCTCACCCATCCATCCACACATCGCTTTCTATGTGCTGTCTCCTTAATAGCTCTCCAGGCAATCTCTTCCTCTATCCCCATGGTGATGCTTGAGTGCAGGTATGATCCTTCCCACTGGTACTGCTGCAACAGCCTCCTCTCCTCTCTCTCCGCCTCCGGTTCCACCCACGCTGTGGGTGTATTGCCCACACTTTCACCCAGAAGGGCAGTCCATGAACCACAGCCCCTCGCATTACCCACCGCTTTCACTTCTGGGTGGGGCTGTGTGGCTCCCCGTGGCCCCACGGCATGCCGCAGTAGGCCCAGGAACCAGGCTCTGCCGTTCTTCCGAGCCTCAGCCTTCTGCATATCCTGCCTCCCACGCAACATGTCAACCATTCTCAAGTGTTTTCACTTCCTTAAAGCACAAAGCTCTCTATTGCTCAGCTTGGAAGCTGCCTTTGGGAGGCTCTCCCTAGTTGCTCCAGTCTGGACCTGGTACCTCATCAGAATATTTCCTTAGCACCAGAAATGATCTCAATGTACTCTCTTGTCATTGTCTCCTCATTTGTTCCCTGAATGTATTGACACCTCCCGAGGGGGACTGGGTCTCCTTCTCACAGCGTCTTCACACATATTGACTGAAGCCTGCTATATGCAGATGCGGCGTTAGATGCTGCAGCTGAGAGTGGGCGGAAAAGCCGGGGCTTGGGTCCTCATGGTGCTTACCTGCTGTCTGGTGGGACAGACAGATACCAGTGAGGAATCCATGGAGAGAATGCATCATTTCACATTCACATTGGAAAACAGAGGGGCACTGTCGTATAAGAAGGTGCCTGAGGCTGGTGGGCGTGTCAGGGGAGGCTCCCCTGAGGAAGCCACGTGTCAGCTGAGATCTGGAGTGGAAGCTGGCTAAGCCAAGGCTGGCGCAGCATTGCAGACAGCGGGGCTGACTTGTGTGAAGGCCCTGAGGTGGGAGGGAGACTGGAACAGCCAGGGGTCTGAGAGATGGGCCGGGGCCTGAGTCCAGATGGAGAGAGACGGAGGTGGAAATAAGGCTGGAAGGCTGCGCCGCAGCTGGACCACCCTTTCAAGGGTTTTGTCTTTATCCTAAGAACAAGGGAAGCCACTGGTGTGTATGCCCATCAGGCAGCCAGTGACGTCCAGGAAAGACGGCTCCGGCTGTAGGGCGAGAACAGATCAGAGAGGGGACCACGGCGGGGCACTGGAGAGCATGGAACAAGTGCTTAAATGAGAGTGATTAGATGAACATCTTACGCACTTATCCCTTTTACTTCTGCTTTTTTCTCTTTGGGCCACTAACCTGTGGAAAAAAAAAAACCCTAATGTTTCTTCCTCCTTCTGTGATCTTCCTTCTTTCTGTTTTGAGCAGCTTCTTGGTCTGTGTCCTCTGCGGATGACCGGCACAAAGCTCTCCGCCAAAGCCTGCTTTCTCCCTCATGGTGGAGAGGGAGCTGTGTGACTGGCCCAGTGCCGCAGCCATCCACCCTCTGCGGATCAGTTGTTCCTTCCTTGGCTCCCAGAGGACTCCTCCCTCCTCCCACAAACAACTCCAGAGCCCAAGGTGACAGGAGAGCGTGGGTGGCTGCTTGGCAGGGCTGTGTCCATGGCAACCAAAGCGCTTGGGGGAGTGGCGGGTGGCAGGTGCAGTCCTGCAGCCTTCTCAGACGGCTCGGTCTCTACTTACAGTCCCCAGAGGCACAGCCTTCTCTGCCCTGGTCATGGCCCAGTCCTGGCCTATCACGGACTCCCCTCTTCCTCTCATCTCCCACATCCGGTCTGTCAGCAAAGCTTATTGCCTTCACCTTCTAAAGATATCCAGAAGCTGGCCACTTCCCACCACCCCTCCGTTTCTGCTGTGGTCCAAGCCCTGGACATCTCTCCCTTGGATTGCTGCAGTGGCCTCCTAACTGATCTCTTCCTCCCTCTTCCCTAATCAGTCATGTTCCTCCTTCGCTCGAAACCACCCAATGTCCTGGGGCCCTCCCAGTACAGAAGCCATAGTCCATATCATGCCCTGTGTGTCCTAATCACCTGTCCCCTCATCACCTCCGCTTCATCCTCTGTAGCTTTTCTCACATCCACTCTGCTCTGTCCTGCCTCCAGCAGCCTGGCCTGCTCCAACTGCACGGTCTTTGCTTTTGCGGTTGCTTCTGCCTGGACTGGCCTTCCTCAGGCATCCACGTGGCTCACTCCTCCGGATCTCCATGCAAATGTTGACTTCTCTGTGAGGTGTTAGATTGCAGCCTTGCGCTCCCTTTGCCCCTTCCCTGCTGTATTTTAAACACCTACTGACATACTATGTCTCACTCATTTAATTGTTCATTGCCTGTCTCTTTCCTTTAGACGGTAAGCTCCATGAAAGTGGAATTTTTGTCCATTCGTTCACAGCTGTATCTCTAGTGCCCTGGGGAGAGCTTCTTGTGCATCACGGTGCACAGGCTGCATTTGTGGAATGAAGAATGGAGAGCCCTGGGCTCGTCGTTCAGGGTCAGTCTCTGACTTGATGACCATCCTCCCGGGTGCTCCTGGCTGTTTTCTTGTCCTTACATTACATTTTGCGGTGTTTGTCTGGGTTCTCTAGGGTTAGATCTTGACTCTGCTTCCATCCCAGAATTTCGGAGTCAGTTTCCATCACTTACTAGGGCTACGTGTCCAAGGACCTACAGACGCAGGTAGAGCTAGGTAGAATTGAGGCTAGCAGCCTTCCAGCCTGGGCCTTTTAATCTATCTGTACTGTCCTGGACACAGCTCAGTGTGGTCCTTCTTTGCTTGCACTGACCTGTACTTTGCAGATGCGTTTTTCTGGACTCAGGCTCCACGTGTTTATCTCAGGTGATTTGTCCCAGGCTATGATCTATGCTTAGTTCTCTGCCCTTTACCCACCCCAAAGGATCTGCCCAGAATTCCGCTCTTGTCCTCCTCCCACTCCCCAAATCTGGCCTGTCCTGTCACTGCCCAAACCCCAGCCATGACAGATCTGCTTTAGAGGCAAGGCCTGAAATGAAACTGTTATCTCTGCATCTGTGGGAATCATTCCATTGTTTTATTTCTTTATTTTTTTCCACCCAGAGCAAATATTTAGTCAAGTGTTGGTCCTAGGGAAGATGCAAGGACGAACAGACATGGCTCCATGTCTCTTTATTTCTTATTGCCTTCTGCTGATTGTAAATATGCTCACTATAAATAAGCAGCAAAGGCCCTCTCGGCCCGTGCTTACCAATGCAATCCAAAATCCAGCCGACTGTCCCATCTCCGCCACAGGCCAAAACACGGAAGTCTGGAGTATCACGGAAAAAGTTCAGCCTGGAAAGAAGAAAGGCCGAAATGGGCTTGTTACGTGTGGTTGCGGCTGACATTGATACATGTTGAGTCAGAGTCTCCTCTGTTCCCCAGGAGTATGTTAAGACCTCAATTCCTTCTGGGGTCGGAAGGGCCCCTCAAGGTTCTGAAACCAGAGGTTACCATACAGGGCCTTGAATATGCAGCAAAGGCCCAGGGGCCATCCTTGTGCAAGGAGGATCTGACTCAACATTCAACACAAATGGATAACGGTGTTCTAGAAATTCACTACTGGTTATGCAGAGGAGTCCAGGGTCTGTGCATTTTGGCATCAATGCAAATAGCCCCCGATGTTCTCACTCCCCTCGGGCCCTCCTGACACTGCCCTGGTAAGCGAGTCGCACCGAGTTTGCTGAACTTTCACTTCACTCTCCTGTGGCCACACTGAGTGGACTGACGCCCTTCTCTTCTCAGGAGCCTTAACCTTGGAGAGCAGCGCGCTTAACCTGGGGTCCATCAACCTCCAAGGGTTCTGTGGATTGGATTCAGAGGGCCATGAACTTGGAGGAGAAAATATTACGTTCTTGTTTTCCCTGAGCTCAAACTGAACTAAGTAGTGTTTCCTTCAATTCAGAATGGAGGCAACAAACCACAGAGGTATGAACGATACCCACGACTTCGTCAGCGGTCAAAACACAGGCGTGTTAGTGTGTCATTACGGTTATGGCAGATGCCTCATAGTAGCGTCAGGCTTATCACTGCTTGGAATTTGCGGTAGTTATCAGACCCACTTCTGGGTCTTCCTATTTAAAGTATTGGTGAAGCTCATATATTGAGTGATATTCTCATGTCACTAATTTGTTTTACTGTTTTAATAACTATTTTTTAGATACAGTTTCCCTGGTCACCTTTTATTATTTCATTTTATGCATTAAGAAATATTCCAAGAGGGGGTTTATATGCTTTACCGGACTGCCAAGGGGGTTCCTGGAACAAAAAAGAACCTCTGCTTTAGGACGAATGTGACCTGCGGACACCTTAAGGGTGGGACTTGGGAAGCCGAAGGTCAGTATTTCCAATCTGCCCAGCCTGGCAGTCTGAGAAGAGCCTGGAGCTTTCAGAGTCACTAATGCCTGTGTAGGCAAATGAACATTCTTTCTCTTCCACTTCTCTTTCAGAACTCTCCTCTCTCGGGAAGTGAATTCTGAACAGAGACGCGCTCCCTGCAGCTGGCAGCCTGTCCGATTACAGAGTGACATGCACAAGACAGACACTCGGGCACGTCAGCCCTGGAAGTAGCCACCTGGCACTTCATCCCAGGTAAAAACGATGTAGAATACATGAGAGTACGCTGGAGGACGGTATGCATGCTTGAACAGTGGGCTGGTAAAGGTGTCTGTGGGGTGCTGCTCCGTCACAAGGCCCTGCTGTACAGCAGGGACGGCAATCGTGGTGACCGTGATGGCAGCTGCAGCGGTATCCAGAGGTGGGCTCTGTTCTGAAGTTAGTTTTACAGGTCAATCATGGCAGGGGTACTGAATTTGACTTAGGTTTCTCTCTTTTAACTGGGCCTTATACTACTGCTGCCATGAATAATAGCTTTGGTGTTAGCCAGTCAAAGACAGGGTCAGATTCCCTTTTCAGAGTCCTTACCCCAGCCTCTCTGAGGGGCCTTGCTGAGCTCGGAGGAGAAGTCCTGGTTAGGAGGTTGGGCCAAGTGGCTGTGTGCTGGACAAGCCAGCCCAGTGAATGCAGACAGCCCCGGGTCCAGGGCTGGCCAGCAGAGGGCTCTCGAGCCCCGGCCCAGACTGGGAGGAGACCCAGGCTTTCCCTGCCTTCTAGCCCAGGTGCTGGAGGGGCCCGCATCCCAGGGACATGCAGCTCCCCATTAGCCACCGCGGACACAGGGACCAGGCCTCCCACCAACTCTGTTCAACCCCATGCTAACCAGCAGAGAATAACCAATGAGTCAGTGGCAGGATGAGCAAAACAACCTCAAAATCAAATGATTTAGAAGACAAAAGTGATTCCATTGGGCAAGTAATTGTCTCCATCCTAAAATGCTCCCACAGTGGAACACCAAGGCAGAACTCTGAGTCACTGTATAGATTTCCAAACTGCTGACTGACAATGATAAGAAAACTTTCTCTTCTCTGATGATTCAGTATGAAGACGCCAGCTCACAGAGCCTTGCAAATAAGTTAAAATCATTTACCAGCCTGTTCCTCCTGTCAATCAAATGAATGGTGTGTGCCATTTTCCCCTCTTATAAAATCAACAACTTTTTCTGAGACAAGCTACAGGAAGCCACTTCTCACACAGAGTTAGCCTCCATGGGCATCCCGAGCATCTCCAGGAGTGAGAGTAGGACGGGAGAAAAAGCAGAGACAGGGAGTAAAATGGCAGGAAGGGACACGTCGAGAGATGACAGATAAAAAAGGTGACAAAAGAGGCATCTTTGGCCGGACGCGGTGACTCATGCCTGTAATCCCAGCACTTTGGGAGGCCAAGATGGGCGGATCACGAGGTCAGAAGATAGTGACCAGCCTGACCAACCTGGTGAAACCCCGTCTCTGCTAAAAATACAAAAACTAGCCATTCTGGTGGTGGGTGCCTGTAATCCCAGCTATTTGGGAGGCTGAGGCAGGAGAATCACTTGAACCCGGGAGGCAGAGATTGCTGTGAGCCAAGATCATGCCACTGCACTCTAGCCTGGGCCACATAGTGAGATTCTGTCTCAAAAAAACAAAGCAAAACAAACGAACAAACAAAAAGGCATCTTCATTTGAGACTGAAAGGGGAGGGGAATAAGGGACGAAGAGGCATCCTCATTAGAGATTAAAAGGGAGGGGAGAAATAAGAGGTAAAGACTGTGATCTCCATACCCTGGAGTAGGCCCCCCATTGTCCAGGTTGAAAACTTGTTTGGGGTTGAGCAGATAGTGGAATTTCCGAAGAATTCTATGGAAAAAAAAAGAAAAGGAGGGAGAAAGAGAGACAGAGAAGGAATATGTCATCGTGAGAAGTCACATTAGGGCAAACACCTCTGGAGCCTACTGGTGGCAGGGAAGAGGGCTCAGTGAAACCCCAGAGGGGAGGGCACTGCCTGCTGAGCCTAGCGTCCAGGCTCCACCTGGCATCACCCACGTCATCACTCCCAGTTCAGAGCTGTGCTACCAACCTAGACTCTGGCTCCTAAGCCCAGGAGCATCACCCCTTGCAAAGAGGACAAGGGAGAGAAACCCAGAGAACAGAACTTTCATTCTAAAGCTTTATCCTCTGCAGAGACCTTCTCCCAAATGTTCTGTATGGTCTAGGCAGTGGGATTCTGCCGTCTGTAGACTGTACAAAAGCATCCAGGACCCCCCTCCTCCCCAGCCTCCCCAGGGAGAGTCCCCCTGCAGTCCTGGGATCAGGAGGAAATGCAGAAGGTGGCGTTGGGCAGGGGAGGGCTGAGAGACTGTGGCCGCACCCAGGCCTGCTTTCCCAGCTCCGGCTTGTAACTGTCAGGTCAGTTCAGGAGGGTGTCCTGCCCCATGGATGGGAGTGGGGGTCTTCCTCATTCTTGCTTTAACTCTGCTAACTATTCTTTTTTAACCTGGATTCCAGATCACGATGCCATCTGTTAATGATCCTGGAATTGGGAGGTAGGGCTGCTTTACCCATTCTCTCCATCCTCCTGTTCTGTTGAACAATTTTTAGCCACCACTGAACTGGGCATTTCAGCAAACGGATGAGGTGGATGCCCTGGGTTCCCATGGGTGGTGGTAGCCCAGGAGGTCCTAATCAGTGCCTCCCATCCCCGCAACTCTTAAATTAAGAAAAGGCCTGAGAGGCTAGGAAGGCACAGGCATCTCAGAGCATGGTCTAACCCTTAATAATGGCTCTATTCTCACCTGTGAGAGGAGGAAGGATAATTAACGCCATTTTACAGAGGAGGAAACTGACGACCAGGGACATTAAGTCACACGGGCCAGGTTATAAAGTGGCAGGTGGCAGTGCTGGGGTTTGTCTGCTTATCTCCACAGCCTGCTGTGTTATTGCCAAGGGGAAGAAGCGCCTGAGTCATGTTGCCCTAGTTGCTCCGCTTTGAAAAAGAAGAGAACGTACCTTTCTCCTTGTCTCCCTCCACTCTTGGGGTTCACCAAGACCAGCAGGGGGTGGGTACCCGGTGTGGGGATGATCTTATACTTGAAAGGTAAAAGAAAAAGAAATTAGCTCTGCTTCATCCAATCAGAGAGTGAGATGAGAGCTGAAGCCAAGGCAGCTTTGGACAGGCAGATGAGATGCAGGAGGAGAGGCGGTCAGGGAGGAAGGTGCTTGTCCACTGGTTGAATTTCCTAAGGGGCTAAGTAGCCAAGTGTCTCCAGTTTGAATGGCCTTTCAGTAGTGTTGATGACAGTGAGAGTTTGAGGTCAGGATCAGCGATGGGACAATGGTGCTGTAGCTTTGAATCATTCAACAATGATGTGGCCTTGTGCCTACAGCACAAGATTACATTTTGTGGGAGACATACAGTCTTAGAAAGCACAGCTGTCTGATCTTGCACGTAAGTGAAATAGCACTCATGGCGTGAACCACTGCTTCCACCCTGGCCCCTTCCAATGCTCATTCCCAGCCGCAGTTTGCCCCCTGCACCCTGGCCCCACATTTCTCACTGTCCAGTGGTTCCTGTTGACTGGATGTCTCACTATCAGCACAAGCTCAGCATGCTTCAAACCTGACCCATCTTCTCTCCCTATGAAACTCGGCCTTTCTCCTGGTTCCCTGTTTCTTTTATTCATCCAGCCAACCAAGGAAGCTCCTGTCCTGCCATGTCTTTCCATGAAATGTCCCTTTACCTCTGGCAGCTGCCACTGCCCCATGCTTGGGCCTTTCCCACTCCAGGTAAGACCTGCACGCCATCCTCACACGGTTCCTTCCCAGAACACCAGGTCAACCATGCCACTCTTGCTCAAAAACTTTTAAGGACAACCTCATTATTAAAGGAGTGGATTTTGTGGCTAAAATGCAAATCTCCTAACATGGCATGAAAGGCCTTTTCAGTCTAGCCCTATCTTACTGCTGTCTCCTAATTCCTGCTAACCTTCAGCTGCAGGCACAGCCAAGTCCTGCTGTTGTTGCTCTGGTAAGTCTAGCGTGTGTCTCTTGCATTTCCACCCATGTATCTGCTCATGTTGGTTTCTTCTTCCATTCCATGCCCTGAAAAGCCCACTTCCTTCTTTGCAAACTCTTAACAAAACAAAACAAAACAACTAGCTGGGCATGGTCACTCACGTCTGTAATCCCAGCACTTTGGGAGGTCGAGGTGTGCGGATCATGAGGTCAGGAGTTCAAAACCCGTCTGGCCAACATGATGAAACCCCGTCTCTACTAAAAATATAAAACTTAGCTGAGTGTGGTGGCATACACCTGTAATTCCAGGTACTCAGGAGGCTGAGGCAGGAGAATTGCTTGAACCCGGGAGGTTGAGGTTGCAGTGAGCTGAGGTTGCACCACTGTACTCCAGCCTGGGCGACAGGGCAAGACTCCATCTCAGAAAAGAAAAAACAAAACAAAACCAAAAAACAGAAAAACCAACAACAGAAGCCTTCTTATCCTCGGGGCTCAATTCAAGAGGCACCTCCTCTATGAATTCTCCTTGATCATTGCAACTAAAACGATTGCACTTGAAACATGTACTATCTTCTGGAGTTTCTTTTGTTGTTGATTTGAATTTTTTTTTTACTTTCTTAGGTAAATGATTCAAAATTATCAACTGGATTTTAAATGCATTGGGAGCGGAGTGGGGTGTGTGAAACTCTACTACCAAGGACCTTATAGCACCAGACACAAGAGTGGGTGCTCAGCAAATATTTGTGGGCTCAGTGGAAGGATACACCAATGCAGATACGCAGCTCTGCTCCATATTCAATATGTAATGCCTGCTTTTCCAGATCTCAAGCTAAAAGTCCAGCAAACACAGTGCCATGTTGTTTGAAAAGGATAGTACCATTCCCGATGATTTTAAAAAACGGTCTCACCTGCTCAGGGTGACTATGTGACACCCAGAAGCATCTTGGAGGCTGAGGAAAAATCCCTCACCTCTGGAGATGATATTCAACGTATTTAACAGCCAACCCTACAGCGTGGGCTCTGCTCCATCAGATGCAGGACAACCCGAAGGCTGCCTGCCCTAAACAACAGGCATAGAGGTGTCGGGCGTGCGTGTGTGTGTTTCCCACCTTGCTGCCCTTCTAGATGTCTAGAGCTTTCTCACATATTAAGGTTCTCCCCTCATTCTGCCTTGTTTCACTTCTTTCTTTCTTCCTTTTTCCTTCCTTTCCTTTCCTTGCTTCTTTCCTTTCTTTCCTTCTCTCTTTCTTTCCTTTCTTTCTCTGTTGCCCAGGCTGGAGTGCAGTGGCCAACCTCCACCTCCCAGGTTCCAGCAATTCCCCTACCTCAGCCTCCCTAGGATTACAGGTGCCCCCGCCCCCACACCACTCCCAGCTGATTTTTGTATTTTTAGTAGAGACAGGGTTTCACCATGTTGGCCTGGCTGGTCTCGAACCCCTGACCTTAGGCAATCTGCTGCCCGCAGCCCCCCAAAAAGCTGAGATTACAGGCCTGAGCTATCATGCTTGGCCTGTTTTACTTTTGAAAACACACGAATCTGTGTGTTCTCATTGAATCTCACAGCACCTCTGGGAGGGGCAGGGCACGGTTGACTGTGCCCCTTTCAGCAGAGGAAACTTGAGGCTCAGAGGCAGAGGAGGTGGTGCTGGTTTCCAGTTTCCTTTCCTGGTACTCTTTGTTCCTCACCAGACTGCCTTCCCTGCATTCCTTGGAACTCCGTGGAAGGCACAGAAAATGTTCATAGGTGAACCCAAGTGAAAAAATGAGTTCTTAAGTATACATTTAAGGATTCAGAAGAACTTTTGGATCTGGTTAGCTTCATTCTGGCAGATCATGTTCTGGAGACAGCTTGGCAATCTTGGAAAACCCATTGTCTATTTTTAGGCCACATCTTTGGTATTATTTAGGACATCTGCAAATTAAAGTTTTATGTAACTTGTTCCTAAAATAGTGATAAAGCCCAAGAAGACCAGCAATGGGATCAGCCAACCTGTCCTCTCACCGCTTGCTGAGAGTGTGGCTGTCAAAGGCAACTCCAGAGGCCAGAAATAAATGCCCTGCTGGGTGATTTAATTGGTCAGATGAGAAGGCAAATGCTGAGATGCTTTTCTACCGAACCCGAACCCCGTCCTCCCCGCCACAGCCCTGGAACAACTTAGAAGCAGCAATCAGGCTCAGTGCTCACTGAGGTACCTGCATTACAAGTTCGCCCTTGGCAGACACGCAGCCATCAGACTTCCCACCTGGCCTGTCCTGTGAGAAGAAAGGAAAGACAAGCATCTTTTGGAAAAAGAAGCCTAATACAAAGAAAGTGATCAGATGAAAAACAAATGGCTGACGTAAAGAAAGAGATTAGAAAGCTAGTGTAGTATGGAGAGGCGATTTTCAACATGGGGCTTCTGATCTGAAGAAAGAAATGTATCCCTAGGAGTTTTTCCAGGATTCTCCAAGCCTCTGCCATCACCAGCTCTGACTTTACCTTTGAGGCAAGGGACATGGTGGGGAGCACTGAAATTGGCAGAATTCCACTTGGTTGATTTAGAAGCTTGAGCTCTGAGAAGCAAGTTTGTAGACTTGGCTTTTCTGCTGAGCACTAATGATATGATATTGTCATTTTTGCTGGTTTATCTTGTTTTTCTAATGTTTATTTTACTGAGGCTTTCTCACATATAGCAAAATGCTCACATCGAAATTACACAGCTTGATGAATTTTGTATACAGGTATGCCCTGGCAAATACTACGTCTTCATATGGGTTTTGCCTGGCTTTTGAATTTCATATACATGGAATCATAGAGCATATCTTTTTCTGAGTCTAGCTTGCTTGGCTCAGCATTATATTTTTGAGACTCTCCATGTTTTTACTTTGTGCATAGCTGCTTCTTCTCCATTGCAGTGTAGTTTCCAATTCTGTGAATGCCAGAAGCCGATGTGCCTCAGTTTATTCATCTGTTCTGTTAACGGTCAGTTAACTTGTTTCCAGTTTTTAACTGCTATGAATGAAGCTGCTATGAGCATTCTCATGCATGTCTTTTTGTGGAATAGATGCTTGTACTTTCCAGGTAGATGCACTGGAGGATAATTGCTGGGTTATGGAGTTTGTATATTTCTAATACAGTAAATATTGCCAAACGGCTTCCCAACGTGTTGGTTTTTCTTTTTTTTGAGACAGAATCTTGCTCTGTCACCTAGGATGGGGCGCAGTAGTGTGATTTGGGCTCACTGCAACCTCCACCTCCCAGGTTCAGGCAATAATCCTGCCTCAGCCTCCCCCGTAGCTGGGATTACAGGCAGCCACCATCATACCAGGCTAAGTTTTGTACTTTTAGTAGAGATGGGGTTTCATCATGTTGGCCAGGCTGGTCTCAAACTCCTGACCACAGGTGATCCGCCCGCCTCAGCCTCCCAAAGTTCTGGGATTACAGGCGTGACCCACCACGCCCGGCCTTTTCTCAGGTTTTTAATGAGAAAGAAGTAGCTGGTCAAGTTAAGAGTGAGATGTGAGGAATCAGTGGCACTTGCAGCATTTTTAAGATGGAAAGTGGGCAAAGTTAAGTGTTTGGTGCTTGTTTGAAAGAGGAGTCTCCAACACAGGTGGCAGGGTTGGGGGGGGGTTAAGGAGCTTAATTTTGCTGCTTTCATTTCCAAATAGGGCTGAGACATCCAAGTGAAAACTCAGGAGGTGGAGGGAGATAGGGACTGGATGTGGCAGGGAGGTTGACAGACTCCCAACCTGTCAACCTGGCTGTGCACAGGTGGTGACTGAGGATCCTTGTGCTGTGCACTGCCTGCAAGAGGCTTAGAACAAATGTGCTTTCCTTGATGGGTCATTTCAGAGCATTCGGGGTGGCCCGCAATTGGAAACAGTATAGTCAGAGAAGTGTTCTCTCAAAATCTGATCTGTGCAGTGCTGACCTCTTTCAGGCACACACCAAAAACACAAACCCAACGGAGAGGAGCAGAAAAGATTAACGACTGGGCACTGGGCTTAAAACCCAGGTGATAAAATAATCTGTACAGCAAACCTCCGTGACACGTTTGCCTGTGTAACAAGCCTTCCCATGTACCCTGTAACCTAAAATAAAAGTTAAAAAAATAAAACACAACCCCCAAGAGTTATCAGGGAAGCCCTGTGAGGAATGTGAATGTCCAAAAGCTGCCTCCATCTGAAAGGGCAGCCTGGAGAAGCTAGAGCCCTCTCCGGGGCAGGAGCACTTACCCGGGTGACGGGACATATTGAGGTGGGCAGCAAGATGTGATCTCTGAGTTCCCCGCCGTCACACAACGTTGATAATTCACACTTGCGGTGAAACTGGGCGGAGAAATGAAAAGGAGAGTGAGCGAAAGTGAGCGAAGAAACATCAAACATGAGGGTGGAGAGGTTTGCAGGAGAGGTGAGCTGTCTAGTGCTCCCCAAATCCTGATGCACTACTGGCTTTGACAGTACTGCTGTGTGTGTGTGTGTGTGTGTGTGTGTGTGTGTGTGTGTGTGTGTGTGGTTAAGGGTGCAAAGTCTGCCATGGGCAGAGAAGGAGGCCAATGGCTACCGAAGTGACACTGTCATGAGCTGGTCTGTGACCCTTCAATGTGGCACCCTGTGTTGATTCCAGAGACCCCTTGGATATGTGCTCTCCAGGCTCTGAGACTCTGGCAGGAGGGAGATCTTGATGAACAAACTCATGGGTGGCTGAGAGTAAACATTGTGACTCAACCTTTGCACTCTGAGAGCTCTACGGTCTCCTTTGGAGAAATCTACACTTTGAGGCTGATACCTGGGGAAAGGACAAGAGCTGGCACTGGGTTTTGACAGGCAGGCTGGCCAGCGCAGAGGCTGCCAGTGGTAGCCGGGTGTCCAGTGGGGCTGTGGACTCTAGCATTGCTGTGGCTGGTGGCAGCAGGCCCAAGCCTTTGGCCCAGGCAGTGAGGCTGCTCTGAGGAATGTGCCTTTAGGGCAGTCATCCCCTCTCATGATGCTCCTGTTGTCCAATTCTTCTCCCACTCTGTCAGTGTCCCTTGCCCCAGGTGACACCCAGGTGAAAGAAGTTCATGGTCAGGCCTGCTGATCCCAGCTGCCAGGCCACACAGACAGTGGACTGGCCAGCTTCTTCTTCAGCAGTCCTCACTCCCCTGGTTCAGGAGTGCTCTCTCTGGGCAGCTTGGTGATTCACTGGAGCACCATTAGGCCGAGGGTATTGAATGGGGGCTGTGGGGTGCTCCTAGCCTCACCCCTCTGGCTCCACTCATGCCCTCTGGCGGGATGTCCACTGCTCCTGGGCTGCAGCTTGGGCAAAAAACCAAAAAAAAAACCAAAAAAAAAAAACACCGAAAAGAAGCAGGGCCACCCTGGGCATCAACCCACCGTCATCCGGCACCACACGCAGTGCCGCGCGGTGACACTCTGGTAGCACTTGATACTTTTGTGGCACCGGTCACACTTGACGGAGGAGTTCCCTTCCACCCATGCGTGCTGCATTACCTGCAGGAGGGAAGCGAAGGGTGCCAGGGAAAATGGCAGAACCATGCCCCCCGGGGCCCTGGGCTGGAGGAGAAGGATCTGGGAGGCGACGCTGGGGAGCCAGAGGGACTCTTTCCTATTTAGTGGATGCTTACTGGATGTTGGGCTGCTTTGCCTAATGGCACGATGTGGTTCCTTCCTGCCTGACCGCCATTATGCCAATCAAAGGAGATTAAAAACCCGCTTTGCCACATTTTGAGCAGCTCAACTGCCCTGGCAGGCAGGCCTCCAAGCAGCATTTGTCTGGCAGTCCATCTGTTTGTCTTGCAGAACTCCTGCAGAGTGATGTGTTTGTATGCGCCCTCTTCTGGAAGGCAGCATGGTACAGAGGAAGTCTGGAGGACTTGGGTGGGCCACAGACAAATCTGGTTGGAATCCCTTTGAAGTGGTGGCCTTTGGCCAGTTCTTAGACCTCTCTGAGTCTCAGGTCCCCGACCGGCAGAAATTTGTATAAGAAGTCCCACCTCTGGGGTTACTGGGGCAACGCAATGAGGTAGCACGTTTGGAAGGTCCTCCCTAGTCCTATCCCAGCCCTTTGGGGTACCCAAAATTGCATAATGTCCTTCCCCTTCCTCAGCCTTAGCTGCCCATTAGAAGCACCTGGGGGAGCTTTTAGGAGTAGTAATTCCCAGCCGACACTCCAGACCAAATAAATAGGAGTCTTTGAGGGTGGGACACATGAGTAATCTGTTTTAAAGCACTCTGGGTGATTATCACGTGCAGCTGAGACTGAAAAGCACTCTAGAAGGAAATTAGAGAAAAAGTCCAAAGAAATGAGAGAGGCCCCACTGGTGCTTTTCACACCTGGTTCCTGGGGAGCTGGTTGTATCTGCTCCGTGATCAGGAAATACCACCAGGGCAGGCTGGGCACTTGGAAACAGGTGGGACAGAGGGAATGTTTGCATGTGTGTGTCGCTGCAGCTAAAGCAACAGCAGCTTACTAGTAACCCCACTATCCAGGAGGCTGAGCTCTCAGTTCTCTCCCCCTGGAATTCTACAGAACTCACACGTTTCCACCATGGTACCCCAAATAACAGAAGGAAGTGGATATGGACTCTAGAAGGTGGGGGACATACCCTGAAGTGCCTACCTGCAAGCGCAGTGTTAGAAACCCATGAAATATTTGCATGATTCTGTCCAGGTTTGTATTAAATAAGAACAAATGTGTTTTTTGAGACAGTCTCACTCTGTCGCCCAGGCTGGAGTGCGGTGGCATAACCATAGCTCACTGCAGCCTTGACCTTCCCCGCTCAAGCTCAGGCTCCTGAGTAGCTGGGCCTACAGGCACATGCTGCCACACCAGGCTTATTTTTGTATTTTCTTTTTGTAAAGGCAGGATCTCATCATGTTGCCCAGGCTGGTCTCTAACTCCTGGGCTCAAGCTATTGGCCCTGTTCAGCCTCCTAAAGTGCTGGGATGGATTACAGGTGTGAGTGACTGCACGCAGTCCAACGATAAATGTTTTAAATGACTTAGCAATTAAGTTGCTTAAGGCCTCCCCTAAAAATGTTTTTGGTAAAATTATTGCTCCAGAAGATCTGTCACGTTTGGTTGGTAGCTTATCACCTTGTGCCTTGCACTTCTGAGGGTGTAAAAAACTTGGTTTGTTCACCCATCTGTCATCCACGTGGCCACAGTGAATTTGCTCTGAGATTATTATTTCCATTTTGCAGAGGAAACAATGACGGTTTCAGAGAGATTAAGTGACTGGCCCTAGGTTCCCAGCCTGGCGAGCGGCCAAGTAGGGTTTCCTAGCCAGGTCTTCTGACCCCAAGTCCAGGGCTGTTTTCCCACCACCACGTTGCCTTCCCCATTAATGCTCTTTGGGATCTGAGATGGTGAAGGACTGGGGTTGCTCCTGCAGGCTGAGAAGGTTGTGAGTGTGCCCTGCTGGCCTCTCATCGGCCTCACTCTGTTCTCTGTGTGACAGGTGGCCAGAGTGTAGGCTTAGGGCCTGCGCCCAGCAGGCATACCACGTGTCCCGGTGAAAGGCATGGACATGGAGTGGGGCGTGCATGGGGTGGTGCAGAAGGCATGGATGAGAGACCATGAGGTGTCCATGGGGCATGCACACAAGTCCTAGGAGGCACCTGTCTCTCCCAGGAGTCCTTCTGCAGGAGGGCTGGGTACCACTCTTACCTGCCAACCATCTCCTAACTCACACTCCTCCGTGGAATCTTCCCTTTGCAGGAAGGCAAAGTATCCTTTCCCTGCTAATTTCGAGGGAAGTCTATCTCCAGACTTGGTGAATGGCACCACCCAATGGCTGAGTTGGAAA